AGAGAGAGAGAGAGAGAGAGAGAGAGAGAGAGAGAGAGAGAGAGAGATTTGCTTTTCCAATTATATAGTGACAGGAACCTGCTTTATAAAAGGTTGCACCAACAGAACAGCAGATTTAATGACTAGAACTAGCAACCCTCAAATGCTCCTCTGTTTCTTTGGAAACAATGAAAGAAGCAGGTAGAAGCTCTCTGGGCAGGAGTTTTACTTTTATTAAACCTGGTATATGGATGAGAAAACATGCAATCCATGTTGTTGACTGTCATCAGGAGGCACCCATTGCTGTGTCTCCCCACCTTCAACTCTGTTTTTCTTCCTCTTTTATTTTCCTGAGGCAAATTTGAAGAAAGCTTTATTAAATACTGACCAGGATGATGAACACTGGAAGTTAGCTGTAGTTCACTGTGATGTTATGATAGCAAGAGATAAAGTTGGGACAGGATCTGGATTTCAAATAAGGCTTAGTGCATGTTTCAAGGCTCTTTTAATTGTCAAGCTAAAATTGGTTTTGTCTCTTCTACAGTATTTATTGTAAGTTGCATTGACTGCATAATTTCCAATTGTGTTAGGGTGTTGAACCTGGCGTGTCTGTTAAGGGGGTCTATCAGCCAGCTTTTATCTTGCTGCACTGAGTATTAGAAAACCTTGATACTCTGAAAAAATCTTGAAAGTGCTAGAAGAAGTGAGTTAGGTTTTAAGCCGAAGCAAGAGGGTAGAGGGCTTGATTATTGCTGGTATAACAGCTTTAATTCCATTAATTGCTAGCACCACTGCTTCTGTAATAGCATTGACACAAGGAGTTAAGACAACTATTAGCCATCTAGCCAAAAAATTTTTTACTAATGTATTGAGTATACAAAAGGATTTATATAGGTATCTGGAACAACAGATGATGCTCTATAACTTATTCAAATTATGAAGTGTCATGACAAATATCATTGGAGTAGTGTTACTTCAAAAATTTACAATGATTGTCATTATAATTAGAAAAAAGTTTAAAGACACCTGTAGGGTATTTGGCATAATCCTAACACCTCTCTGGGTGTGTTAACTTTGCATAGTGAGATTATGAATTTAAAGAATGCTTTTCTTTCTCTTTGGTGACCACTTTTTCCTCCTTGTAAAGTATAGCACTCTCTTACCATGTCCATGACCCAACTCTACCCTGGGTTTTCTTAAACACTCTCAGCTGTCTACCAGACTGTTTCAGAAATGCTTCTTCTTGTGGCCCGTGGAGACAGATGGTTCAGTAGATTAAAACATTTATGACAAACACATGAGTATTTGAGCTCAGATCACCAGAAATCATATGAAAGCAATGTGCCTGTATGAGTCTGTAATCCTAGAACTCCAGAGCTCAGGAGGATCCATGTATTTCATGGGTCAGCCAGTCTTCAGGTTTAATAAAAAACCCTGGGGTGAGCATGAGGGGGAGTGGAAAGAAAGAAAGAAACAAAAAGAAAAAAGAAAGAGTGGAAGGAAGGAAGAAAAGAAAGAACAATAGAAGATTCCAACTAAAACTTTGTTCTTTACATAAGAGCACAGGAGTGCACCCATCCATACTCATAATTTTGTATGCACCGTCATACAAGCACACACACACACACACACACACACACACAGACAGACACACACACACAAACACGTATGCACACATGCATTTACCATATACATATATTAAAAAAAGATCTATAACGAGTGTACGAATTTTTTTTCTGTAACTTGTTTAATATGATTAAAATTCCTATAAACAGTTGCACTTAATTTCCTATGAAAATAAATGAACAACAAAACAAACTAACTGCATTCTTTACTGCTGAAAAATTTTATGCACATATGCTATATTTTCTATATTCAATTCTCTGTTGTAGGAAACTAAGACTGATTTACTTATTTATTTCCTCTTCCTTACTTATTTAGATTTTGATTATAACAGAAACCCTTGTGTAAGCAGTATTATAGAACAGTACGTCCCTTCTCCCCATAAGTTCTCCATTATCAGACTCAAAGCACTCTAGCTGGAAAATACTTAAAATAAAACAGTATTTATGCAAGAAAAAGGTAATTTTTAAGCTTGCCGTCCATAAACAAAATGGTAAAACTATTTGAAGCATATCAAGTATATGCTCGTCAATACACTTAATCTGATGATGATTGATTGGAGTACTGGTCAGATTCTATGTAAATTACATTCCACTTTATAAGAAAGATCAGAATATCTGTGTATTTTAGTATGTGTAGTAGATATTGAACCAACACTAACAGATATTTGGGCCACATACACCCTTGACTGACATATCGACTTGAGGCTTCCTTTAATTTTAAGCAAAAGTTCTTCTAGACATGATAGTTGAGTGACATTTTTCTCCACCTTGCATCTTCATCTTTTTATTTTTCTCTCTCATACTCCTTGTCCAACCATAAAATATACACTCATTTTCCTAATTAACTTGATCTTATTGAAACATATGTCAGTAACTTCTCAGTCACTAAAGTCTGTTGTAATAATAGAACAAAGAAGAATTAGTCACAAGCTGCTGAGACTTTGCCTTAGCAAGAGAGATGTATTCTCCTCCAGTGTGATTTTATAGATTCTACGAGACTTCTTTAATCCCCACATTAGCAGTCTCATTGGTGGAGTTATGAGGATTCTTTAACTCATCTAGAATAACAGTTCAGCCAGGATAGGACTTCTAGGCTATGAATATCATATATGGTTCCTAAAGCACTAAAACATCCCAGCACTTTTAAGTTACAATATTGTCTAGCATGTATAATTAATTAAACTGCTCCACCAGCAAAATCTTGTTTTCTTATTAACTTTGCCCAATAGCAGAAACTGGAGGCATAATACAGGAAAAAGTTCCTGGAGATTTTAACATTCACTCAGAACCCTGAAGTAATAGTGGAAGTATGAGTATCGGAAACAAAAAATATTGAAATGTGTGGACAGACAGCTTGGTTCTATGTTAGCCATGAATATAGGAAAAGGTAAACATTATATACTGTTTGTGCATTCTTTTTGGCTTTGTGCTATCTTTTCTTTAGTAGATTCTGTAGTTTGGTAGATGTGACAGGTATGTTTCAAATTCTACCAGATATTGTGCCTTAAAAATATTATAATATTTTCAACTGATAAAATTAGCTCACTGAAATTTAAATGAGAACTTCAGTGATTTGGGCCTAAGTAAATATCCCATGAGGAAAGTGCTTGTAGTATGCACTCGAGTGAAATGAGGCATGCACGAAAAAACAGGTATAATGACATGCGTTCATAACGATAGTTGGGAAGGTGGATATAGGCAGATCGTTAAACTGTTCAGGATAACTAACCTACTTGTCAATCTCCTGGTTCTAGTAAGAAACAAATACTTAATATAATAGTAGATAGCTCCTGAGAAATGATAGCTTTCATATTTTATTTTATCATTTTATTTCTGTGTCATATTCTCTAATAGTATAATATAAAGTAAAGTGAAGGTGTTTGATTCTCAGCCTATAAACTTGCAAATAATACATAATGTCAGTCAAAATGAGGGAACTTTTGACTCAAACCCACAAGTGAATCTGAATGCCTGGGATCAGAGGATCTCTCTCTCTCTCTCTCTCTCTCTCTCTCTCTCTCTCTCTCTGTCCCCTTCCTTCCTTCCTTCCTTCCTTCCTTCCTTCCTTCCTTCCTTCCTTCCTTCCTTCCTTCCTTCTTTCCTTCTTTCTTTCTTTCTTTCTTTCTTTCTTTCTTTCTTTCTTTCTTTCTTTCTTTCTATATCTTTCTTTGTCTCTCTCTGTCTCAGTCTATTTCTCTCTCTTTCTCTTGGTCTCTCTCTCTTTTCTTTCTCTTTCTCATTCTGTAAAATAACTATTTAAAATATTCATACAGCTCTCCTGAACTTGAAGATGAAGCTTAGTCATGATCTTGCCTCTTGATTGTTAACTTAATGGAATCTAGTGTCAATACTGGTTTATTTGAAGTGGGAAGGCCACTTTAAAATGAGCAATACCATTTTCTGGGCTAGGGTTTCAGATTGAATAAAAAGGAGAAAGAAAACTGAACATCAATATTTACCATTCTCTATGGTGTGTATAATTTACACAGTGGAAACTGAAGAGCTTTCTTGGAGATTGGAGATGATGTAGACCTAATAGACATGAGAATTTACACATCCCCTTGCTGGACTGAGCTGGTATAAAAGAGGACTAGGGCCTCAGTATATGATGGAGTTGGGTTTGAGTTCTGGTCTTGCCATTTGACAGATATGTATAACATTGAAAACAATCATTTACCTCTTCTGTAATTGCATTTCTCAACCTCAATGTACATATTCTTATGGAATATCAAGATCATTGGGAGATAAGTCAAAATCAGTAAGTAGATAAAGAAATTTTAATGTAGTGTTACAGTCACTAAATGATGGTAAAGGCACAGAACATCAGTGGAAGAAAAAAGAACCATCCATATATTTATGCTTACATCTCCAGGCAGCCCTCTTCTAGGCTACATCCGCATTGCTGGACTTCAGGAACAGAACCTCCCCAGTAAGGATGCCTTTCATTGGACCTCCCAATCCACCAGGTGAATGGGGCTCCATCTAAAAGACAAGATGTTTAGTAAGTCAGAAATACAGTCTGAAAGGCTATAGAAGAGTTCACAGTGGTGTGTGTGTGTGTGTGTGTGTGTGTGTGTGTGTGTATACATATAATGTCTCTCTTCTCATCCATTCCTTCTCTCCCTCTTTTCCATACTTTCTGAATTCCATTTTGGCTTTCTTCATTTATCTCTTCCAACTCTCTCTATATTTTAATGCAGACATACAGGTTTCCATATAAAAAGAGATTTTTACTTAAAAAATATAGTTAAAGGCTGAGGAATGACATCATTAAGAGACAGGGACAGAAACTCAAATTGATAACAGATTAGAAAATATTACAGCTAAAACTAACTTTAAATTAATACATTATTTTTATGTGTAGAAATGCAAAATTTAGTGTTTAAATAATGAGTAATAGAATGATTTGATATAGCTTTAGGCAGAGCAGTAGAAAAAGGAACATTTCCAGTTTACAAAATCCCTCCCTTTAAAAAATGTTTTTAAAATGTCACTTTAAGTGGGTCAGTGCCTCATATGTATTCAGAGACTAGACATGGTTGAGTACTATTGTACTAACAGTCAGTGCAACTAAAATGAAAACTGAACTTTCACAACAACTACCTCAAAGGAATAACAGAATTTGGATACTGTTTGAATGCCAAGATAGTCTACTTCAATATAAAGAGAGAAGTATTCACATGACCTTCATAAAAAAGGGAGAATAATTACAAATCGGTTAAAACTAGAAAAAGCAGTTTTGTATTCTCTTGATTTGTGTGCCATTTATGTCCTTCCTCAACATCCTTTTTTAATTCAATATTTTACTTATTTACATTTCAGATGCCATCCTCCTTCCCCATTCCCCCCACCCATTAATCCCCTATCCCATCCCTCCTCCTCCTTTTTTTGCCTTTATACCATTTTAATTATATGCAAGTATTAAGGTCAGTTCTAGGTTGAGGAACTAGCAATACAGTAGATGCAAATAGTCCAGGAAAAAGGAAGACAACAAACATGGATAATCAAAGAACATCCATGACAAAAAACAAGTCCCATGATCACTTCTCTGATCTCTGTTTCTAAGGGCTTATCAGGATTTTCAAAGTATCTAAGCCTACTTCCTTGTCCTAGCCCAAAGTCATTTTCATGTTTGAAGCCTATTTCTTTGTTCTAGCTTAACATTTAGATTTCTGCCTATAATTTTTTTGTTCTAGCCTAAGATTCAGATTCCTGCCTGAAATTTGTTCTTTGTTCTAGCCCAGGATTTAGATTTCTGCCTGAAATTAGTTATTTGTTCCAGCTCAATGTCAGATTCCTGCCTGCAGTCCATTTCCTTATTCTTGACCCATGTCAGATTCCTGCCAGTCAGCCCCCAAAGCTCTCCACATCTCCCTCTTTTTATTGCATAAACCATACAGAACTTATCTTAGGTAATTCTGACAAGAAAGCCTTCCTTACCTGTCATGGAATATGCATTATCATAAGAAATGCACTTATGTCTTAGGTTGGTAAGGCTATGTGTAGGATCTTACCCATCCTTGGCTTGCCAGCCTGTTAAATTAATAACTCTGTCTGGGGGTCCATTTTCAGTTTCAAGTCATGTACTTTGGCTGCCAGCCTGTTGATGTAGTTAGAGACAAGCTTTAACATGATGGGCAGGATAAATTATTCCCAGGACAAGAAATACTAGCCTGATCAAGCTACATATGCCATTCCTGAGGTTTGACCAAAATGGAAATACTGCACTCAGGCCATGGATAATTTTACTGGCATAGTCTGCAGCATCAAAGCTCAACAGAGCAGCATTCTTTAAATTCATAATCTCACTATGCAAAGTTAACACACCCAGAGAGGTGTTAGGATCATGCCAAATACCCTACAAGTGTCTTTAAACATTTTCTAATTATAATGACAATCATTGTAAATTTTTGAAATAACACTACTCCAATGATATTTGTCATGACACTTGGGATGGCTCCTAACTCTTAAACCCTAAACCTACTTCAGATAATTTGAATAAGTTCTAGAGCATCATCTGTTGTTCCAGATACCTATATAAATCCTTTTGTATACTCAATACATTAGTAAAAATTTTTTTTTTTGGCTAGATGGCTAACAAAATACTTTTCTTAACTCCTTGTGTCAATGCTATTACAGAAGGAGTGGTGCTAGCAATTAATGGAATTAAAGCTGTTATACCAGCAATAATCAAGCCCTCTACCCTCTTTCTTTGGCTTAAAACCTAACTCACTTCTTCTAGCACTTTCAAGATTTTTTCAGAGAATCAAGGTTTTCTAATACTCAGGGGAGCAAGACAAAAGTTGGTTGATAGACCCCCTTAACAGACATGCCAGATTTCAACACCCTAACACAATTGGAAATTATGCAGTCAATGCAACTTACAATAAATACTGTAGAAAAGACAAAACAAATTTTAGCTTGACAATTAAAAGAGCCTTGAAACATGCACTAAGCCTTGTTTGAAATCCAGATCCTGTCCTAGCTTTATCTCTTGCTATCATAACATCATAGTGAACTACAGCTAACTTCCAAATAAGTCTCTGACAATGTCCAGACCCAGCCTTCCAAATATAGACTGTTATTTCCAATATTGGATTGATTTAATAGCTGATCACCTTTAAGAAAAATACAAGAGACATTCTAATTTCTCTTTTTGACTCTCTATCCCGCAAGGTCAAAAAACTTGAGGCAAAGCAGATTGTCCAATTTGGGATATAGGCAAGCAAAGATGAGTCAGGAACATATGTCTAATACAGCTCCCCAGTCACCCTTGTCAGGGCACTCAGCAAGCTCACAGGTCAGCATCATAATCACATAACATTACTCTCATGATCTTTCTAAATTTTAAATTAGCTTTTAAACAAACATCACACGTGCACACACACACACATACACACACACAAACACACATATACATACACACAATCACCCACCCTTTCATATACATAAGGATAGAACGATGTCTCTTCAAAATTTTCCAAGACAAAAATATCACAGTAAAAGCCAAGATTAGCTAAACACGTGGTCCTTTTGGTAGATAGTAAAGAGTGCAGAAATTTAGGGTAAATAAAAATTAAGCACCATGTAAAAGAGATCCTGACCTAGTCTCCATTGATTTTTTTTGTCACAACAGTACTAGAAGAAAAGTGAGGAAATGAGCCTGTGAAGGTCGTACTCTTGTGAGCCAAGAAAATCATTCTGAAATTATGATTCACTGAGACACTGGGGAAAAAAATAATTAGCTTGGGTTCCTGATTTCATTATTATCTTTCTGTTGTTTTTAATGATTGTGAAAACCACAGTTGCATATAGCTGTGAATCAGAAAATTATAGCACATCCCAAACAAGAACCAACATAGACATGGAGGCCCTGGATAGCATCAGCTGAAGGCACACGACCCAGCTTCCCTGGGCAATGGCTGTTTTCTTTTTGCTTAGCACATGCTAGACAGTTAAAAAGGTGTTGCTGGCTATTTTTAGTTATTTTCAAGATTTAAGATTCTAAAGTTAAGGCTGGGCATATAGTCAAATTGAAATTGAGTTCCTTCCTAGCATACAAGAAACTGTGGTTTTGATTCTTAACACCATACATATAAACTATGTATAATGGTGCAGGCTTGCAATCTCAACAGTAGGGATATGGAGAAGAGAATCAGAAGTGAAACATTGTCCTTACCTACATAAAAAGTCAGAGGTTAGCATGTGCAACAAGAGTCATTGCCTCCAAACAAAATGACACTCTTGAAGCATTTGAAAATTTGGCATGTTAAGTGCTAGCATGTGGGATTTTTACCCAAGTAATATTTTGTTGTACAGGGAAATTATTATTTTTCATACTGTCTTTATTTACATCTACAAAGCACCCACTTTCTCTGAGTTGTTCACTCTTCTAAATCTCCCAGAAGCCTTTTAGGCAAATAGACAGAGATAAGACATTTAGAAGTCCAATGCTATAAAACATGAGAAAAATGGGGGAAGGTTTTTGCAAAAAAATCACAATAATTTTGAGATGCAAATTCCTGAGAAGTGCTGGAAAAGTCTACCTTCATCCCTCTAGCACATCATTTACTAATAAGTATGACTTCCCATAATGGGTGTGAATATGCTATTTACAGAGGAATGGCTTAAAGGAAGAAAAAAGAAACATGTGTGTGCTTGCATGCACAAGTATGTATGTGCAGGTAGAGGCCAGAGATGGGTGTCCAGTGTCTTTCTCAACTATGTTCCACATGGTATTTTTAAGACAGGATCTCTCCTTGAACACAGAATATTATCAATTCAGCTAGACTAGTAGAATAGGAGAATCTTGGGAGCCTCTTGTATCTAGTCCCAGCACCAGGACTACAAATACTCGTGGGCATGCTCAGTATATACATGACTATTTTGGGTTTTTATTTTTATTTTTCATTGATACAGATTCCAGGGATTTAACTCAGTTCCTGGTAATTGCAAAACAATCACTTAACCCATGGTGCCATATTTCCCTCTTGAAAACAAAATCAACTTTGTAGAAAAAAAATTATGTCTGAGCCTAGTTTATTGATATATTGGTCAGTTATGGTTTTCCTGACATAGGAAATCCAGGTGAGGTCATGCAGCACCCTATTTACACAATTAGGGTTTAATCAACTGAATTAAAATTAGAGAATCTTCGTGAGTTTTTAATTGTTATAGTTTAAGAAACAGTAAACACTCAGCTTATCAGTGATGTCTACATGGAAGCCTGGAGAGTTTAGCTGTCAGGTAACCTTCCAAGCAATATCATCAAGGAGTTAGAAAGCCCTGTAAAAGCAGAGAAGCTGCTGTGCTGAATGTTGCTGCCACAGTTAATACTGCTTCAGTTTATTTTATTTTGTCTCACATTCTCTCCAGAGAATTAGTATATTTTATGTATTTTTATTTGAATTAAAATATAATTACATCATCTCTTTAATTGTTCTTCCCATGTGCTATTGCTCCTAGCTCCTATCCCTCCCTTT